TCTAAAAACTGTTCCCGTCTCCTTATGGGTCTCTTCAAGTGTGTGCGCGCGTGCGTGCGTGCTTTACCTTGAACCTGAGTTGCTTGAGCGGCGGCTTAGCGAAGGGAATACCGTGGTAAGCGTAGAAGGGCTTGCTCCTAGTGGACCTGTACAGCAGGCCGGATACCACACCTCCTTCCGTCCTCACGTAAGGCGCGTCGTGGGCCACCACCACTGACACCACCACCACCGCTGACACCACTGTACTTGCCAACAACCTCATCCTCCTGACGCAAGCAAAATAAATAACATCAGATATACACACAATTTAATAACAATAAAGGTTCGGGTTGGCTGAATAATCATTAAGTGATGGAAGAGAGTGGAAAAGGGATTGTTGTTGTTAAATATTCGCTACTTGTAACAAAAAGTTCCAAGTAACACGGGCTATGGTGAGCCCGTAGATAGTTATTTGGAGCGCTACCACCGGACTATTCACCTGTGTGGAAGAGGCTTGAAGAGGCACAGTCTGGTGAAGAATGGGTAGGTATATGGACGAGAAGGTATAGACCCACTGGATAACAGAGTGAGAAAGTGGGAAGCAGAATCACAGAGGAAGGGAGACAGAGCTCCTCTATACACCAGTGTGTCATAATAAAACAAAAATGTAAGCCAGAGTGAACATCCTTACAGCCAGGGAGATGCGGAGGTCAAACACACTCGATCCCCGTCCTCAGAGACCCGGCAGAAGGGGTCACAAAACAGACACTCTTATCAATGCGGATTCACAGATGTGGTTTAAGATTTGCTACCTGGAATAAAATGTTCAAAATAGTTATATGTTGTTAAAGATTCGCTACCTGGAACAAAGTTCCAAGTAGCACGGGCTATAGTGGGCCCGTAGTGCCTAAAAAAAAAAATAGCTACATGTTGTTGTTGTTAAAGATTTGCTGCCTGGAACAAAAAGTTCCAAGCAACACGGGCTAATAACTATATAAAAAGTGTGCGCACAAGTATCAGTTGCACTGAGGCAGCGCGTAAGAACTTAAATAAGGGGAAGAACGGCATAACATTATTGAGAAGCGTGATAAAGAACAGAAGAATATCATGCCTGGAATGAGAAACGTGATAAAGAAGGAAAGAAGAGAATAACATCACCATGCCTTCACACCCCCCCCCTGGGGCCAAGGGGGGGGGGGAGATAGTAAATCTACACATCAATACGTCAATAAACGGTAATAACAAAAATATTTTCAAAATGTGTCTCAAAATAATGATATCATGTTATTAATCGTATCAACAAAATCGCGCGATTTACGTTGTTGTTGGGCTTAAGGCCTAGCAACCTCTGGAGGGTTATTGAAGCCTAACAACCTCTGGAGGGTTATTGAAGCCTAGCAACCTCTGGAGGGTTATTGAAGCCTAACAACCTCTGGAGGGTTATTGAAGCCTAGCAACCTCTGGAGGGTTATTGAAGCCTAGCAACCTCTGGAGAGTTATTAAAGCCTAGCAACCTCTGGAGAGTTATTGAAGCCTAGCAACCTCTGGAGAGTTATTGAAGCCTAGCAACCTCTGGAGAGTTATTAAAGCCTAGCAACCTCTGGAGAGTTATTGAAGCCTAGCAACCTCTGGAGAGTTATTGAAGCCTAGCAACCTCTGGAGAGTTATTGAAGCCTAGCAACCTCTGGAGAGTTATTAAAGCCTAGCAACCTCTGGGGAGTTATTGAAGCCTAGCAACCTCTGGAGAGTTAATGAAGCCTAGCAACCTCTGGAGAGTTATTGAAGCCTAGCAACCTCTGGAGGGTTATTGAAGCCTAGCAACCTCTGGAGGGTTATTGAAGCCTAGCAACCTCTGGAGGGTTATTTAGACGTAACAACCTCTTCAGGGTTATTAAGTCCACCACAACAGCTCACTAATCAAGCGACAAATATACTCTGGTTATGGACACTGTCCAGTGCTGAAGTTAACTCTCAGTGTATATACACCCAGAAATGTGTATGTACACCTCTCGGTGAATGTATACTTTCCTCCCAAGTCTCAGTCCACATAATATAAACATAGGGCTGAATATTAAGCTAATATACATCACTTAACAAATTTATACAACAGTATAGTATTGTTAGACGATATTCTACATGTATACTATGGTATGTGCATAAAATCTACAATAGTATATATTTATATAATACATTTTAATATGTTTATACAGAATACTATGTGTATATAATACTCCATAGTATTTTTATATACACTGTAGTGTTTTTATATACAATATACTACATTATCATTCTTCAATATACTATAAAATGTTTTGAAAATATGTTAGAGTGCTTGAACAATTTAACGAAATACGCATGTACATTATACTCAAGCATATATAATCATTATACTTTAGTATGTGTATACATTATATTCTAAAATGCTAAAATATAAATATTTTTCTCAACGTACAGTTGTAAAAAAGAGAAGCCGAACCGACCTTTCCTTTAACTTCTTATATTAGAACAGTCTCTGATGCACACATGCATCAGGATGATACAGACAGACTAGTAGAACGAAAACAGGCATCACAGGCATAATGTGTCACAGGGAAATCATGATAAAAGATATTCAGACAGAACAATGCAAGTCACTGGATTGCAAGTCATTAAACAAATATTTGCGTTCATCGCTGGCGATGGCCGGCAGCCTCTCTGCTTTACCCATACCAGGCAGACAGGGAGGTAGGTAGGCAGGGTTGCAGGTAGGTAGGTAGGCAGGCCAGCAGGCACATCAATAACATTATCCCAACCCATTGCACAAGCCAAGTCCCACCTAGACGGTAAGGGACTTACCGTCTTAATTGCACCAAGGGGGTGCAATTGAAATCACACGGCTCCTTGCCTGGAGCCTCGATCCCCCCATGCTCTGTGCACACCCATGTCCTCTATCACCCAATGAAGCACACGTTCATCCACACAACCCTCATCCACATCCACCTTGCTGGCAACCTTCAAGGTCTCCAGCAGCCTTAGAACCAGCAGCCACAGCTGAGCATTTGTTGACGAAAATTACAATCTATTATGTCGAGGCTGTTGTGAAATAAGTGCCAGACTAATTAAAGTGTGACGACTGAAAGCGGCCAGTTGATTCCAACTTAATTATTTTATAATTTCTTTTGTTAATAGTGTTATGTTGCCTTAACAATGAGGTTACTGGCGCAGAATAAACAATACCCATCGTAATGGCTTATGTTTACAATGGTAGTTTGAGGCATCAACATGAGTCGCAGGAATATCCTTGCAAAACAACAACAAAAGTTCCACGGATGACAGGAAGCTTCTCCATAGTCAGGTTCGTCCTTCACAACTCTTGACATGTCACGTATATTTCAATTTAAAAAAAAAAATTGCAATCTCCCATTACTTTGCAACTTCACTGCTTATCTAAGAGACGAGAAAATCCACTAGGGATGTGAGGTGGCGCGAACCTGAGACCCAGAAATTGCCAACCACATACTCTCTCACTCTACATTGATATATATATCACGTTGATGTGATTTATGTGTGAATCAAAGAGATGTTCTATGCTAATCCTTGGAGGAGAGTTCTGCAAGCTGTGTTTACATTTTCATATCAATACCTGCGTTTCCTTCTTAGGATTGCAGCTCATAGTCACCATCACCAGTTTCTCTGCGTGAAATAATTTCTACAATAGTCTACATAGCTGTTCCGTGTCCATTTATTTCACCTACAGCGCCAGGACTCCTCCTTTCGCTTCATTGTCCCTACTTGTTACCCGGTATTTTCTGGAGAATATTGCTTTAGTGATCTTTCCTGTTAGTATTGTTTCTACTATTGCTATTGCAGCATAACTCATTTTGTGTCCACGGTTTGAGTTTATCTGCGTTGATGACCAAACCACACATCAGAAGATGGAGAAACGACGACGACGTTTCGGTCCGTCCAGGACCATTATCAAGTCAATGATCCAGGACGGACCGAAACGTCGACTGTTTTCCCTCATCTTCTGTAGCGTGGTTTGGTCACCATGTCTTCAGCCACGTTATTGTGACTTTCTCTGTTTTGCAGGCGATGAGTCACAATAACGTGGCTGAAGTATGTTGACCAGACCACACACTAGAAATTGAAGGGACGACGACGTTTCGGTCCGTCCTGGACCATTCTCAAGTCGATTGTGATGAGGACAGGTAGGGACAGGCATTAAATTGGCAAGAGAGAGCTGAGGAGGAAAGTCAGGTGTAGGGGATAGTAGTTAATGCCTGTCGTAATAGTAATTTAATGCCTGTCCCTACCTGTTCTCTGTTTTGTTTGACATGAACATCATCATCGTTCTTGTGCTTGCACAGCTGCCAACCTGGAGTGGGTTCTGGGTGGATTTAGGTGAAGGAGAAAGAAGAGGAACGGAGGAGAAGGAAACTTAAAAAGAGAGGGGAAAAAATGGAAGATAAATGTGAGATTTAGTGAGGCAAGTGATGGAAGGAAGGAGATATGACATATTGGAGAAGAATTAATGTATTGTTCTCAGGAAGCTCTGACTCTTGATTGCAAGTGTTTGTCTTTCTGATAGATCTTTCTGTGGGTTATCAGTCTCTGATTCCCAGGCTGAATGGAAAAATGTTGTCGTTAACCCTGAGGCTGATAGGGTGATTGGAAAGTTATGTAGTGAGTGGAATAATCTTGTTCTAATCTCCTGTTACACGTGTGAGAGTGCAGCCGCCCTGAACACCAGTGAACACAGCCTTACTAAGCA